TTTTCTTTTTGGACAAATTGATGTGTTGGTGTAGCTTGCTCTTTACAAATAATTAACCCAACCATACAATTTCCTCCAGTCCAAGTATCCTTCAAGATGAAGCAAAGATAGTGGGATACAGTGTCTTTAAATATCAGAAATACTGGAAGAGATAGTGAACTATGAATAGGTCAACCTGGAAAAGAAGAGGTCTATGATCAGTGTCACTCAAAAATGATACCAGGCTCAACTGCGTAAGACCACCAAATGAGTTTCTGTTCCCCAGGTTGATGGCCCTCTTTCCACATCAGTCAAAACTAGTTTCATCATAGAGAAGGCTCAGTTCCTGTGGATGGAGCAAGAACTCCAAAGGACTTAATACACTAGAAGTCTGAGCTCTCTAAAATGGGCTTTGAATCCTCATCCATTGCATTATAAGCATTGCAAGTCATGGCTTGCACAGCTTTTATCCATCACTCACTTTCCACTACACCCACAGAGAAAGATATCTCATAAGGCTCTAATAGAAATTCTAGATAAGGTAAGAAGTGTTAAACTGAGCCTGTGACATTACCAGGTTCTTTGCCAGATCCATCCTCTAACGCCTCATGGCAACAGAATGAGTGTCTCAGATTTATGGAAATGTATGTGACCAATGTTATCAAAGTACTGTTCAATTGGGCAAAACTTTTAAGGGAATTGTTCAAGAAAATGATTAAGGATTCTTCAGACCTGAACAAGATCACACAAAACCAACCCTTTTTGAGAGTAAGCGATAAATCCTTATACCAGGACTTTTACATTTCAGCAGTTCAAAACCATCTCTTGTTTTATCATTGAAGCCAGAAAATATTTTCTAAACCACAACCAGAGAGGAACCCCACATGCCTCTTCTTCTTGCTGAATGAAGCCTGTTGGCTCAAGAGGTCATTCCTGTAAGAGGAAGGCTGAGGAACTGGCCTTGAGCCATTACTTCTTCAGGTAGATGGGCTCTTGAAATAATTACAGTAGGATCGCTGAAAGAATTCCAAGATTCCACTCTTCTTTCTGTACTGTCATCTCCTTTTAACTAGATCCTCACAAAATAATAGGCATTTCTGGGCAGTGCAGCAAAATTTATCACCTTAGGGGCCACAATTCAAAAATCTCAAAGGTTTCTAGTCAAGATTTGGTTTCTTTCACAGTGCCAAAAGAGAGACAGAGCCTAGGACCTATAAAAATGAACCTAATAGTTTGTAAAGCCAAATTCTGGTGCTCAAAATGTTGCATTTCCAGATTTTTTTTGTTCCACTGACTTAAAATAGGCCTATTATCATATCGATGTACATAACTAATGCTACCTATCCTTTGCAAATAGGTGACAATAACCAATTTCAGGAAGTGCCTTTTGGCCTCTTCTCCGCATGTCAAGACTTTAGAAAACATCGTTATTTTTATTAGCTTGTTTGAGTCAGAAAGACATCCATATTTACCATTGCTTGAAACATCCCAGCCTTAGAATGCAATCATAAGATGTATCTGCTTTTTGTACCTGTAACAGGATTTTCCAGATTCTCAAGAAACACAGTTTTATAGTTAATTACAAGAAGAATTTTTTAATTCAGTTTCTGGAACTCTCTCCCATCTCTGTGCAACCCTTTGTCTGGCCCATAGGCCCACATTGAAAATCTTATCAAGATGTTTGTTGATGAACGAGAGAAGGCAGCTCCCCCATGCTATTCATTGTAAGGTATGATTAGGTCCTCTGCAGAGTCCAGGCCATAGGAAATGGTCCATCTCTTCTGCAGAATTTTCTCATTGATGGCTGAAGTATGAAAATAGGCGTTGATTCATTCTCTCCCTCTTCCTTTTGCACTAAAATCATTGCTTCCCCTGTAGACATTCCCTTAACTCCTAAGTAAGACTATATCTCTGACCAGTCCTCCTGGAATGTGATGGCAGCTTGTCAGGGCAGGGCGCTCAGATAGGCTTTCACATTATTTAGGGCAAATGATTATTCCGGGAATGACATCACAGCCTTTATTTCCTGCAGTGAAGTTAGTAAAGAAATTTTCCATGTGAAAAATTGTAAGCAATGCTAACAGAAAGTTAGATTTGTTGTGTCTGCCATTCGCATTGTCAAACATAGAGGGTGGATATGCTATTTTTTTAAATGGGGAATACCGACATATATTTTCTCCTTCTTTGCTAATGGCTGAGAGGGCCAGGAATATCAGGTAATGATGAACACTTACCCACTTAACCACTCTCAACTTGCCCATATATTCCTTGTATGTAAGCCATCTCTGGATCCTGCTGGTCTCTCAGATTCTCATTTACTGGGGCCCCTATTGGACTGATGGAGTGATGAATACTCATGCAAGAGAAACAATGAAATTAATTTCATTTAATGTAATTTCATTTTCTCTAAGGCTGTGTCCAGACTCCATGCCTCCGTCGACGGAGGCATGTAGATTAGCCAGATCGGAAGAGGGAAATGAAGCCGCGATTAAAATAATCGCGGCGTCATTTAAATTTAAAGGGCTGCCCCCCTCTGCCGATCAGCTGTTTGTCGGCAGATCGGGGAAACAATGAAATTAATTTCATTTAATGTAATTTCATTTTCTCTAAGGCTGTGTCCAGACTCCATGCCTCCGTCGACGGAGGCATGTAGATTAGCCAGATCGGAAGAGGGAAATGAAGCCGCGATTAAAATAATCGCGGCGTCATTTAAATTTAAAGGGCTGCCCCCCTCTGCCGATCAGCTGTTTGTCGGCAGATCGGGAGAGTCTGGACGCGATGCCCCGACAAAGAAGCCTTTCTTCATCGACACAGGTAAGCCTGGTTTCACGAGGCTTACCTGTGTCGATGAAGAAAGGCTTCTTTGTCGGGGCATTCTTCTTTGGGGGCGGGCCCCAGCCATTTAAATTTAAATGAAGCCGCGATTATTTTAATCGCGGCTTCATTTCCCTTTTCCGATCTGGCTAATCTACATGCCTCCGTCGACGGAGGCATGGAGTCTGGACACAGCCTAAGTGAGTATCTGCCACACTGTCAGAACCCACCAGTCTTCACTAAGTCTGAAGTTTCTCTTCGAACATGGGGAGATCTTTTTTCCCATACATAAGTGGGGCTCCGGAAGGAAAGAGAGGAAAACTATCAAAGCATTTCAAGCTGCTACTTGTGTTTGTTTTAAAATATTTTTTTGCTGCCTGGAAATTGCTCTGTTGTTTTCTAACTTGTTTTGTAGTTCTCATATTCCCTCAGCTTTAGCAGTATTCCCAGGAGCCAAATATGAGTGCACTACCTCACAATGCCAGCACGGGGAGCTGGCAGGCAAGGTGGTGGGC